GAACTGCGGGATAAAACACACACGGAAACACCTCAGCCGACAAGGAAGACCATTTTTGAGCGGTTGTACCTTGTTTCGGAGCCAATTTCCGCGGCCGGAGCGCTGCAATGCCCCGGCGCGGCGCCACAAAGCGCCTCACGGCCGCCGCCATGGCTGGCCCCTCACAGCCGCGCCGCTGCCGCCCCCTGGCGGCGCTCCGAACCGCGCCTAATTAACGGCGAAACGTTAATTGGCCTTCAAATTAAACGGCTCCAAACGAATTTCAAACGGAAACTCGTTTAAAACGGTGAAAACGAACGGGGGATTARAACGAACGCGGCTGGAGCGTTTGGTGCTCCGGGCTAAGTCACCGAGGGTAAGAAACTGACGCACGCGTGTCTCTTCCTCATTGAAAAAAAAAAACCAACCAAAAACACAAAAAACCCGAGAAAAACACAAATATCTGGACCCAACCATTCAAAATATTGAGTTCCCGGTGGTTTGGCACACCGTCCACGCTTCAARAGAGTTATTTTAGCAGGCTGAGCCAGCCCTGGTGCGCCCAGCCTGAGCGCTCGTCGCTGCGGATTTCCTTCCTTCCCATTAGGCTGATTAACATTTCCTAATGAAAACTCATCTATAAAAACAGATTTGATAATGCTGATGGCGAGTGACAGCCCTTCCCCACAACCCCAGGACTGATTTGTCATCTCCCATCTTTTAATAGAGAAACGGTGCTTTGAAATTCTCCTTTTAAAAGACACCTTTGTTCAACAACACCAAATTAGAAATATTATTTGGATCTGGAAATAGCATTAGAAATATTATTTGGATTTGGAAACAAAGTACTGCTTGCCGAACAGTGGTTTAAAAAAAATTGGTTTACCAAAAGTTGGTGAATTTTTTACACACAGCAGACCCATTCCTTAATAAAATATTTGTGTATTTGTAAATAAAGCACACAAAAATACCGGCAGCAGCGCAGCACCAGAGCAAAGTGCAAATTGTGAGGTAGTAGTGGCCTCTGCCATCGGTACCTGCAACTCCTGCCTCAACATTCACAGCTTTATTGTTACTTTGGGCAGTTTTATTTCAAAATCTGGGWTTTACAGCATAACCTCCTTGGTTGAACTGCTAAGGCACAGAGGGGCTCAACTCTCAATCCAAGTTAGACCCAAACTCTGGTTTCACACCCCGTGATGCTGAGGTGGAATTTTACCCTCTAAATATTTGAACTTTTTCTGCTTTGTGATGTCAGAGAATGGCCTGGCCCGCACTTAAATGGGTCAGAGAAAATCCGAGCATAAAGCAGGGCAAGATGTGGAGTTCTGAATACACCGTGAACAGAAATAAAAGCAATTCTCATGCTTTAATGGTACATCAAGCTAATTCAAGAAGGCTAAAATCATTAAAAAGGCATCCTGGGGCAGTACACAGTCATTACAATACTGTGCTGACAAGAAATATTAAAATAATCATTTCCAATGTCATTGATAGAATCCATTCTGATAAGCAGGGGCAAAAAACATCTCTAATTCTTAATTGGGAAATCTGAAGCAAAATGGATCTTTATTAGCATTTATCTCATTTTAAAATGTAATTCCTCTGTTCAACAATTCCAAATTGCTTAAAAATAAGGAAGGATTTATCATCTCCATCGTTGGGTAAATTAGGCTMAATCCCTGGAACCTGAAACTTTTCTTTTTTATTTCAGCCTGAAGTTCAGGGCCTGCTCAAGCAGTTTCAACTCCCAACAGTATCTAAAATAAAACCCCAGTGGGACATGGCTGAAAGTAAAAAAAAAAAGCCTCTAAAATACCCCAAATCCTGCTTTAACTTCACTCAGCATTCCTGTTGCAAAATATGAACCAATGAACTTGATGATCTTAAGAATCTTCCCCAACCCAAGTGATTCTGCGATTCCATCTCTGTTCCAATCAATAGTGAGTTAGCAGCAGTAATGAAGCGTTGCAAACAAAGTATTTGGATTTAACTCGAGAATAAAGGAGTGTTTTCATCACAACAATAATCATTCAAGTTAAATTCTTTTACCACTGAGCTGTGGAGAAAATGGGAAATGAGTTATCACAGAAGAATCATTAACAGGTGACCACCAAGAGCTCAGTAGTTGCTTGCAGGGGACAAATTAGAAATTTAATTTCTAATGTGAGTGCAACAAAGGAGTAAAAGGCTCTTCAGCGCCATTTCCAATTTCCTCCTCCTGCAAGGCACAACCCACAAACAGAGAAATATCCTAGAAAAAGCTTGCAAACAGCCCAAACTAGGAATTGCTGTCAAAATCCACTCCTAGTGTACTRAAGAAAAGTCTGTGAATGAGCTGGGAACATCCTCAGGTGGATTTTTTTTTTCCTATTACCACAAAATCGCATAACCATTTGGGCTGGAAGGGACCTTAAAGCTCATCTTGTTCCACCCTCTGCCAGGGCAGGAACACCTTCCACTATCCCAACTAATGTGAACCCTCTGAAGAAGCCACTAAAAATCATTAAATCTACACTGAACCTGAACAGCCCAGAGCAGCACAAACYGAGGGATATTTAATCAAGTTCTTCCTATTAACAGCTTGCACTGCTCATTCACACCCCCTCGCTTAATGGGGTTAAGAAGTTGCTTTGTTTCCTGCTGAAACAAACAGCAAAAAATGATCAGGAATTGGATTCWGTCCCAGACGTGTCTGGCAAGTGTAACCCATTCATACAGAAGCATTTCTAATCCTATTAGCTGGCAAATTATTAAAGAGTTGGTTGGCTGCCACGGAGGGCAAAACAACACCCTGRTATTCCTTAAAACACATGATCTCTGTCAATTCTTTCTTCGGGAGCAGAGAGACAAACGAACCTCCTGAAAAGCTTACAAGTTTATCACACGAGCTTTGGGCCAAGAGATTTTTYTCAAAATGTCTCTGAAAAGGGAAAAAAAAMMACAAAAAAAAAAAAAAARAAAGGGGGGAGGCTGTAGCCAAAGCCACAAACACCACGACTTGGAATATGTAATTAACAATCTAACTATGGCTAGCACTCCAAAATAAATGTGCTAACAAAACCCCCTAATGGCTCTTTGAAGCTCCTAATCAATATGGAAAAGCTAGGCAGTGAAAACAGTAATTTTTGCAACTAGTTCAGGAGAAAACAGGGAGCAAAGCAAGAAGATGCAGCTTCAAATGCTCTGCTCAGAAATCTGACCAACAGAATGGGTAAAAAAAGGGTGCATGTCAGTATTTTCCATGTAAAACTTAGAATGTTTTCCCTTTTTTTCTCATTTAAAAATTACAATGGTTTGCCTTTTTTTTTCTCAGTCTAAACATTAGGATGTTTTGCCCTTTTTAATTCATGTAAAAATCTGACATTTTTGCCTTATTTTTTTCATTTGAAATATCTTTTAACCATTGCAAGGCATTGATGTTAGCACAATGAGAGCAGGACTTTGAAATGAAAATCTGACAACACACAAACCCCCAGAACTGAGGAGCTCTGAGAAGTATCAAAACTTAATTAAGAAGGTTTTTAGACACAGAAAAACTGCTGGGATGAAGGGCTGACCCGTTCAGCCACGAGGGGAATCCTATGAGAAGGCAGCAAAGCCCCACGGACACTCGGTTGAAATTCCACTAGAGGGGGCACAGAGCCCATCTCAAACAGCAACTTKAGGGAATCGGAATATCCCGAGCTGCAAATGACCCACAAGGATCAAAACCTCCACACAAGACTCGCACAGAATCCCAGAATCCATCCCAGAGTGCTCYCAGCCCCARTGTCCAGCCTGGCCTTGGACACTTCCAGCRATCCAGRGGCAGCCACAGCTTCCTATGGACCTCCCCACCCTCACAGAGAAGGATTTCTTTCCAATATCCCATTAATCCCCCAACTTCTAACACCYTACAAACACCACAGTATTCAAAAATACAATTTTCAGCCACTCTGCACAAACAGCCCCTCAGCCTCACCACGAGCACTCAACCAAGCCAAGGAAAACTTCGCTAAATTCAAGCAAGCACCCAAGAAAACTGAAAATTAAATAAAGACAAAAAAAATAGCTGCTTAAGGCTAATGGTGCTGGTTGAGAATACATCAAYGTATGGGTGCTCTGTTTAACTTAAGGAATTTTCCACCTCAGAAAACACAACAAAAAACCCTAAAAATCAACATTTCCTTTAACAAAGCAGGCAAAGAGCAGAGCTATCACCACGAAAGGAGCAGGTGGAGCTCTGAGGGGTTGTGGGGTGAGAAAAGGCAGCTGTACCRTCATGGAAGACTCTCTCCACGTTGAGCCCGTAGGTGGCACAGGTCTCGTAGTAGGTGCATCTCTTGAGGTCATTCGACAGCTTCCTGGCGCGGGCATCGTCGATGACGCGGGGGTTGGTGGAGCTGATGGCATCTGCAGAGTCACAGCGGGGAAAATAAACCATTAAAGGGCATCTGGAAACGAAATCTCTGGGATTTGGAGGCGCAGAAGGTGGGAAGGAGGTCTGAGATCGCTGAGTGAAAATGTCAATTCACAGTCACCATTGACCCATGTCCTCAAATGACACCTCCACCTAGGTTTTGAGCACTTCCAATGCTTGAYAAGTCTTTCCATGAAGAAATTTTCCCCCATATCCAACCTGAAGCTCTCCTGGTGCAATTTGAGGCCATTTCYTCTTACAATGACCARCRCCCAAGCAGTCAGTTTAAATACCAACCATAAAACAGGGTGCACATAACCCTAATTTTACATTTCTTCATTAAAACTWCCAACACTGATTCTAAAATTCAGGGGGGAAAACCTCCACTGCTTTTTCTTTCCTTAAATACTTATTTCTTAAATATTTTCCTGAAATTTTCCTCTAAAATTTTACTAAACATTTAGCTCAGTTATTGCCAAAAGAAAAATATAAAATACACAATCACATGAAAGATCACGAGCTCTGATGTAAAACATGTCTAAGGAAACAAGTGGGTGATTACTACAAACAAATCAAATGATTTTTGGCCTCTGTAAATATCTTTTAAATACAATTTTTGGCCTCTGTGGCTTGTAAGTAACTACAGAGAGTGAAATATTAAACACGATAAATTTTCAAGAAATAGAACTTATTGTAAATTACTTTCTCAAACCCTGCTGTAAAGGCACCCATGAGACATTGTGGGAACAACAAAGCTGATAAAAACTGTGTTTTTTCTAAACAATCACASTTGGTGATTCTCTCCAAGAGTTTCTTTCCATGAAAGCTGAAAATTAGAAATTTCAATTTYTAGAATTTATCCAGAAGAGCTCGAAAAAAACTGAAAAATAACTGAAAAGAACAGATGAATGAAAAGCTTTTTTTTTCCATCACAGCGATGAACCCTACAAAGTCATAATCTTATGAACAAATCTTGAAAACTAACTTATTTTTCCAGGAGTATTATGTTATTTTTCTGCCCCTGGATCCCTGGAAGTGTTCCAGGCCAGGTTGGATGGGGCTTGGAGCACCCTGGGACAGTGGAAGGTGTCYCTGTCATGGCAAGGGATGGAACAGGATGATCTTTAAGGTTTTCCCATCATTCTGTGATTCTCCAACAGGCACCAATTTCAGCAAGTCCTGCTTAAAATCTGCAACTGCCCACAGCAGCAAAAAAATTTGTTTTTTTGGGAAAAAAGCATCATTTTAATATAAATAAAGCATCAATGCCTTTTGCAAAGTCGTATTTGAGGCTCTGCCCCAGGCATGACAGGATCAGACCTCAACTGATGTTGTCATTACCTCCTYATCAGATCCAACTGACAAAAATAAAACGGGAATTTGGAAAAGCAAAAGCCTTTTTTTTTTTTTTATCAGCAGAGGGCGCTGATAACATTTAAGCAGAAAGGAATTGCCAGGGTTCAGTTCCAAAACACCAAGGTTGCCCAAAGTTTGCCTCGTTGCTCCGAGGTGGGTCAGGCTGCGGCACGGAATTGGTTTTAGGAGTCAGGGAAAAACATCTGGAAACACTGGGCCAGAGTTGATATTTTGGGAAAGATTTCATTTCATGTCTCATTGCAAGAATACCAAACAAAACCAAGGGCAGGTTGGACAGGGCTTGGATCAGCCTGGGACAGGGGAAAGTGTTCCTGCCCTTGGCATGGGGGTGGAATTAGAGGTGSTTTAGGGTGTCCTCCATCCCAAACCACTCTGGGAYTCCMTGATACCAAACAGGTATATCTCAAATATGCATTTTAACCAGCATATTTATGTATTTCATATATTTTATTCCACTGTCAAACACAGACAAAAAGCTGTGTTTTTTCCTGATGCTTATTCTTAGAATGCATATTCTTAGAATTAAGATAATTTTTACCTTTTTAAAAAATCCTGTTTGCATCAGTGTTGCAACACAAAGAAATGAGCTTTTCTTTTTCTGGCAGTCATGGGAAGGAGATGGAAAACCAAATCCCAAACCATAGCCCAGTGTCAGAGGGCACAAACAAAAAAATGTTGGGAGAAATTCACCTTTTCAACCCCAGTTTCAAGCCTAAAATGTGGCAGCTCCTTTCTCCTTTTTGGTGTTGTTTCTGCTGTCCTAAGGCTTTTTCTGTTCCTGCTTCCCCTTTTTCTTCTCATCATCTGTTTCCTCCCTGCAGCTGGGTTGTGATTCCTCCCTCCCTSCTGCCCACACGTTCCCCCTGCGCTGTCACCCCTTGGTAGGAGGAACAGGAAGGGCTGAAAAAACACCAAAAAGTTTCACCACCACCAAAAGCAGTGGGACACTCTAAAAAGGAGAATGCTCAAAACTGAACCCACAAGAACAGCTCACAACACCTGAATTCTGCCTCTAACAAAGAACAGAACCTGGTGACACCCTCAGAAAGAGATGTTCCAGTGGGAAAGAATTGAAAATGAGGGCGGCGAGGCTGAGGGAGCTGAGGAAGGGGCTCAGGGACTGGAAGAGAGGGAACGGCCTCAAATTCTGCCAGGGGAGGTTCAGGCTGGATATACAAAAATATTTCCTGACAAAAAGAATTGTCCAGCCCTGGCACAGCTGCTCAGAACAGTGGTGGAGCCACCATCCCTGGAAGGATTTAGAAGTTGTGTGGATGTGGCACTTGGGGACATGGGGCAGTGGTGGCATTGACAGTGCTGAGGACACGGTTGGATTTGATGATCTTAWGAGGTTTTTTCCCACCCTAACGATTCCATGGCTCAGCTGGATTTGACAATCCCAAAGTTTTTTCCCAACTCTAACAATTCCATGGTTCAGTTGGATTTGATGATCTTCAGAGTTTTTTTTGCCACCCTAACGATTCTGTGGTACAGCTGGATTTGATGATCCCCAAGATTTCTTTCTAACCCTAATGATGCCATGTTTCAGTTGGATTTGACGATCCCCCACGTTTTTGTCAAAACCCTAATGATTCCATGGTTCAGTTGGATTTGATGATCCTCAAGATCTTTTTTTCTAACCCTAATGATTCCATGGTTCAGCTGGATTTGACAATTCCTACGATTTTTTTCCCAACCCTAATGATTCCACAGTTCTTTGATCTCCATGGTCAGGAGCACAGCAGCTCCAACTCTCATCTTCTATCCCAAGCCTRCTCCAAACCAACCCCAAAATGGGAAACTGGTGACACTTTACTGGGATACACCGCCACAAGCAGGCAGAGAACAAACATCCCGTGGCAAAGGGGACAGGGCACAGCTTTGCCAGCTTGGGAGAGTCCATTTGGCCCCCAAAACCGGTCCCAAAAGCAGGGCACTCACCCTGGGTGCCCACCAGCACCATGGGGATCTCACTGGTGTTGCGGTAGTTGGCCATGCGGCTGTAGTAGTGGTACACGGTCTGGAAGCTGACCTCATCCTCCAAGCTGAACACGAAGATGACGGCGTCCACCCACATGGCAAACTGCAGGAAAGAAACGGGGAAGGAATGGGTGAGAGGAGCAGCAGAGAGGAGAAAGGAAAACCTGAGAGAAATGTTCCTACATTCCTTTGAAAACTGAGAAACGTTCTCACCTTCCTTTGGAAACTGAGAGAGAAACGTTCTTACCTTCCTTTGAAAACTGAGAAACATTCTTACCTTCCTTTGAAAACTGAGCAATGTTCTTGCCTTCCTTCAATAACTGAGAAACGTTCTTACCTTCCTTTGAAAACCAAGAGAAACGTTCCTATCTTCCTTTGAAAACTGAGAGACGTTCTTGCCTTCCTTTGAAAACAGAAACGTTCTTACTTTCCTTTGAGAACCAAGAGAGGAATGTTCCTACCTTCCTTCAAACACCAAGAAACGTTACCTTCCTTGAAAACTGAGAAATGTTCTTACCTTCCTTCAAAACCGAGAGAGAAACATTCTTACATTCCTTCAAAACTGAGAGAAACGTTCTTACCTTCCTTCAAAAATCAAGAGAGAAGGCTTCTTACCTTCCTTCAAAACTGAGAAACTTTCTTACCTTCCTTTGAAAACTGAGAAACGTTCTTACCTTCCTTTGAAAACTGAGAAACGTTCTTACCTTCCTTCAAAACCAAGAAACGTTCTTACCTTCCTTCCAAAACTGAGAAACGTTCTTACCATCCTTCCAAAACTGAGAGAAACCTTCCTTWGAAAACTGAGAGAAACSTTCTTACCTTCCTTCAAMAAGGGAGAGAGAAACATTYTTACCTTCCTTCAAAAACTGAGAAAYGTTCTTACCTTCCTTTGAAAAGGGAGCAAGAAACGTTCCTACCTTCCTTCGAGGGAAATAGCCTCAGAGAAACTTACAGACAACAACCAAGGCCTCAAAAAGGGGCTAAGCTGCTAAAATGAGGAATCCCATCACCCTGCAGGTGTGGGGATTTGGGATACACCAAGGATTTCCCCACAACTGCACCTCCTCTTCACTGTGAGGAGCTTTCAGCTCACAAYTGAAGTAAGGTTGCTTAAAAACACCTAATTTAACAGTGAACATGAACAGGATGTCAAGAAAAAAACTCCAGCTTACCTCACTGCCATTATTTTTCCTTAAGTGACTCCGTTCCTACCCAAATTCAGAGCAATTCGGCCGGGGGGGGGGATTTTCATGATCTTTGTTTTATTATCATTATAGCGTGCCAGGGGACACACTGAACAGAGGGGAAAGGCTCTGCATATTCAGGATTGTATGGAAAACAATTTTATGGTGTAAAAATAGATTAAAAATGTTTTGAGGATTTCAGGGCAGTCAGGAGGACAATYCTGCAGAGGGAAGGGTAGGGCTGGTTACACAAAGCACAGTCACTGCCAGGGTAAGGTCAGCACCACGCTGGTAAAAGGGAACTGCTCAAACCAGAGGAACTACAGACAGCAGCATTACTTGGCTAATGTGGCTTGGGTCTCATTAAAAAATAATTTTTGTTGACTGGACTCAACAGCATCATGCCAAGGACTCTTCCCAACAACTGCAACATCCCTAAGGCTGGGTCCATCTGGCAGCCAAAAACCTCTCTAAACCTTCACAATGTTTGAGCAGTGTGCACAGCAGCCTACTAATAAAGATCATTTTAAAGCAACCCACAGATTTAAACAACACAGTTCATTTCCAGTAATTCCTTATTTCTCTTTTCATATTGAAATGCAGCTCAATCTTTGTGAAGATCAGACCTGTGGTATGGGAAACCAAAGGAACTCCAGGAAATACACACAAGGTGTGGAAACCTGGATTCTTATCCACAGTGCTGTGCAGGGAATGGCTCGAAATGAGGATWAATCAGCTGCCAATATAGAAAATCCATTCCCAGACTTACTACTGTGAGTAAGCAGAGCTCTTAGTTCAAGGCAAGCCCAAAACCAAATTAAAAAAAAAGTTCTAAATTAAAAAAAAATCACACGCAGCAGCTCATTATAGGTCAGTCACGAGGTTAATTTGGTTTTACGGTCAGAAATAAAATTATTTTTGTTTTTGAACTATATTATCTTAGGCAAAGAAAGGAGAGATCAGAGATCCACAGAGAAAGCATTCAGGGAAGTTTGTTTTTTGTCCCTTCCTGCCCAAAAGAAGGGGACAGTAACCTAGGGAAATATCCGTGACCCAGTGCCAGGAACTCCACTTATTCCAGCTGGAATTAAGTCCCAATTATTCATGAACCCACGAGCAAACTTCCCATTGCAGGAATGAATCGACCAATTAAAGGTATTTAACAGACAGGTAACTTGGAATTATACCCAAAAAGCCTTGTGCTGAAAGGTGACACAGCACTGACACCTCAAACCTTTCTATCCTCCTCATTTGAGATCCTGAAGGACAAATCTCAGCCACCACAATCACAGAATGCTTTGGGTTGGGAGAGATTGTGAAGCTCAACTCATTCCAAGCCCCTGCAATGGGCAGGAACAGCTCTGCCCACACAGCAGCAATGAAAGTCCCAAATTTACCCTGAGAGCCCCAAATTCGCCCCAAAGCACACCCCGTGCTGTTCATCAGCCTGCAGCCAGCCCCTGTGAGCTCTGYAARCCCCGCTCCTGGGGCACAGCACCATCTCCCACTGCTGCCCGCACCTTTCCACCTGCACTGCTGACATTTTCAGATGGGTGAACGCTCCCTGAGGCTGAACCAGGGGCTGCTGCAGCCAAATCCCTGCCAGCCCCACACAGAGCTTCCCTTGTTGCTCCTGCTGACACGGCTGCAGATGTGCCGCCGACGCTCAGAGGGTTTTTTTTTATCCCACATTTCCTTCCAGGATGTCCCTGTCAGTCTCCATTTCCTCCACTTTGTGGTCTTTTCTCTTCCCCTTTGTCCTGGCACCTTCCCCCCACGCTCTGGCCCTGCTGGAGCTGCAGTGGGGCACTGAGAGCCAAGCTGCTGCTGCTGGCAGCGTTCCCCCTCAGCTGCTTGGCCTCAGCACAACTCCCGGTGCCAAATTCTGGCTCCTCAGGAAGCTGATCCCAGTGCCCAGGTGAGGAGAGGCACAGCAGGAGGAGGAGGATGCTGCCTGCTCAAAGGGTGGCTGGGGCTGAGCTGGTTTAAGCAAAACACGAGCAAAATCCTACTCAGAACAGAGRAAGGGTCAAGTATGTGAACCCACAGGAGTCTGCTGCAAGGCTGGGAGATCTGGTGAAGAGAACGCTCCGGGGAGAGCTCAAAAGAGCTGGGGAGAGATTTTGGGCAAGGGCCCGGAGGGAYAGGACAAGTGGGAATRGCTTCATATTGACAGGGGGAAGGGTTAGATGGGATTTTGGGAAGGAAYTGTTCCATGRGAGGATGGGGAGGCAGAGAAGAAGYTGTGGCTGTTCTGGATCCCTGGAAGTGTCCAAGGCCAGTCTGGACAGGACTTGGAGCACCCTGGGACAGTAAAAGTTATCCCTGCACATGGCAGGGGTGGCACTGGATGAGCTTTGAGATCCCTTCCACCCCAAACCATTCTGTGATTCTGTGAAATCCTCGTGTCCCCAGGGGAAGCAATTGGGAATTCAGTATAAAATAACCATATATCCCAACATTGCCTACCCACATTCATCCATCCATTGGAACCGAAATCCCAAAAATCTTTTTCTCCCAGCAGGAGGATGAGAAGGACCTAGAGCAGAATAAAGCAGAGCCAGTTCTTTCCAAGGAAAGTTTCCAAAAGAAGGAAAGCRAGGTTTTGGGCTCACCTGTGCCTCCGGAGGGCCTCCTTCATCTCTGATCAGCAGCAGGTAACTCTGTCCATCCACCACGATCTCCTTCTTGAACCTCCCACCTGCCACACAGAGCAGCTTGTCACACACAGCAAAGGCACAGAACAAAACGCAGAAAAAGGCTTCGCTTGTGGAAAAAAAAAATCTTCTGCAAATTAACCAACGATTGTGATATAACTGAAATTTATATGCACACATGTAGGAATTTCTTTGTAAAGTTAAAGGCGTGTACTTGCCTTATTTAAATACATATTTTATACATATATATATATATATATATATATAAAATAATGTGGGGAAAAGCCAGAAATTGCTTTCACAACACAAACTCCCACATCAGGAGTCCTGGGGTTGATCCACACAGTTAAAACCCCTTTGTGAGAGAGAGGAGAGTCCCTGAGAAAGGCAAACGTGGCAGAGTTGGGTACAAATGTCGTGTCTCATCACCCAAATCAGATTTTTGGGGGCATCAGCATTTCCTCAAGGGAAGCCCAGTTCTCAGAGCACGTGTGGGATGTTATGGAAATGAGAGTTCTACACTCACACACCACGGTTAGGGGGAAATACCAGACACGTGTTAGACACAACAGCTACGATGGTGGTGCCTCGGTGAGATGTGCTAAACTAACAGAGAACGCTGTGCTGGTGGCTCGGGGCCAGTCCCACACCTGCTCTGCATGGCTGCTCTTAAAAAAAAAAAAACCTAAGAAGAGTGGAGTTGTAGGTTTTAACCACATCCCATTCCCAATCCCACTATTCCAGGGAATGCAGAATGTGGGTGCTTGGGAACACTCAGGGTGCTCTGTCCCCTCCTGTCCCCGCAGGGACTCGGGCACCACCCCAGGGCAGGGCTGGGAGTGCTTCCTTTGGGGCTCACAGCGGATTTTGGGCACTCTGCTGCCTCAAAAGTGACAAATCCCATTTGGGGCTGCTGGTGTGATGGAGCCTGAGCCAGGATTAGCGAGCTTAGCCTAACGGGAGGAGTTTGAGCTCCTCTCCTGGAGCAAACCCACTCTTATCTTGCCACAAAGCCTCCAGCTGAGCATCACCCACCCTCCCMCCAGAGCTAACCACGCTGAGATAAAAAAACATCCATTAACACACCCTAAACTTCTCTCTTTAGCCCTGTTTTTTTAACTGGGATTAATTCCAATCTGAACCCTATTCCCCACCTTCAAACCTTGTCATTCTACCAAAAGCAGTGCAGGGAAAACGTGCTGAGAGCAGCTCCGACCTGCTCTCCGAAGAAGCTCCCTAAGCAAATAAATCAGCGCTAACGCTGATCCTCAAAACACAACAATTTACACAAAAATTGGARCCCCACGCTGGCTCAGAGCCACAATTCCCCCCAGCTCAACCACAACARCAGCTTTCAAACCGAGATTGCTCCTCAGTTCAGCTCTGTGCCATATTTAAGCGTGTTTAAACAYGTTTTGTGCATAATAAAAGATGTAAGAACGGGAGGTTTCGTGGTTTTGTGCTGGGCTTTTTTTTTTTAAATCTTTTCTTTGTAAACTTACCCTATGATTATCACCCTATTAGCAGTATTAAACATGCAACAATTAAGAATAACCCATTTCTGGTTTTTAATGGCACAGAAGGAGCAGCAGAGCCACGTATGGATTTCCATTACCTCGCTCACAAAGTGGATTTCAATCCTGCCTTTGCAGATCGAGGGACAGATAAATACATATATAACTACTGATCCCGAAAAGAACAATCCCAAACGAGTGTAAAACTTGTAAAGGGAGCCAGTCTCAGCTCTCAGGAACTGGATTTCTATTAATCAGGCCATTATTTCCATACGTTGTCAATTAATTGCATGTGCTTCCCCGTGAAGYGTTTTAACTAAGATGAATTAGTTAATATAGAGCCCTCCAGAGAGGGGTTTTAGAACTGAGACTAACAATGGAAATGCAAYATAGATGTGAGCAGAGAGGGAAAGTTCTGCCTAATTGCCTTTTTTTTAAATTTAAAACTCCTTTTTTTAAAAAAATACCAGAAGTTCTCCCAGCTAATAATGAAATAGCACACACTGAAAGCGTTGAAGAGCCAACTCATTACTCCCCTGGCCAACAGGACACCAACTGCACCTCCAAACCGTGCTCAGGAACACAAAGAGGACACAGAAATAAAATGCTTGGGTAGAGAATTGAAAAATAAAAAATATTTGAGCGTACACACCCAGCTCACAAACGAGAGCACCGTAAGATTTACTCTTCGCGATTTGGCTGGTGGGAGCAACTCAGAAAAGGCTACTAAATTTAATAATCCAGTATAAATTATCCCACAGCTTTTTTCCTGAGTGAGCCCACATTAAATGAGCAACGTGGGCACCTGCTCCTTGCCTTCCCCAAAAAGAATGGAGCTCAGTGCAACCACAAWWTTTTTTTTTCCAGTATTAAATCCCACTTTACCAGTGACTGTCACCCTGCTGCAGCCAACAGGCAGAGSCAGCTCAGATCCCCTCAAGGGGCTCCTCCACCTTTCAAAGCAGGATGTTAGCTGGAACCCTCACCCATTCCTGATATTTTTTTTGGATTTAAGCATTCCACGACAAACAGTTTTTAAATTTAACAAAACCCTCCGACCAAACCGTTTCAGAGAACACCCCGTGTTTCTGAGCTGAATATTTCAAAGTAAATCTGAGGGCTCAGAAATGTAACAGCAAACTCAACATTCGTCCCTCGAGGAAGAATTATTTTATGCAAATCTGGGCTCGCAGCAGGGTTCACCCCTAATAACTTGTGTTTCTGTGCCACTAAGGACCTGTTATCGTGAGCACACTGCAAAATTTGGTGCTGCATGGGCAGAAATRAAGAAAACCCACCTCAGTGTAAAAAATTTACACAAACAAAAGCAAGAAAAGTGAAAAATACACAAATCTAGGCTGTACCCTGCAGAGATCTGTAGGATTATTAAAACAAACAATAAATTGATGCTGCCTATGGTTTGATGAGTCCTGATGAGAACCATGAGCAGTTTGGGCAAGGGAAGCGATTTTGGGACGGTTCAGCTCGGACAGCACCGCGTTCATTATTTTTTTTTAAATCCATCTCAGAGTTTGTAAAGCACCACWGGGAAAGAGAAATTAGATTAATTAGTTCAAATATTGGACTGCAGCAAGTCACAAAGAAACCAAACAGTCTCCCAAGGCTACAAAACACCCCAATATTTTCCAAATATCAGCGCGTGCCACGGAGCCAGGAATCACAATCAAAACCGACAGCACTGAGAACAAAGAAATGACCTTCTTAATGTAAAGAAGGAGCTCCAAAGCCACAGCACCATTCCCGGGGGAGGTGGCTGGCTCTGCTCTGCTCCCATCAGGATTGTGACACTCGCAGCTTTTTAATGAGGGCGTTGCTCAGATGGAGCTGCCAAGGGGAGAGGATGGCTGGCAGCCRAAGGATGGGGCTCTTCCAGGCAGATATTCCCAATTTTCCAGGGCTAGAATTATCCATTCACAYAGGCTCATGGGCAGAAGTGCACAGCATTTTTACAGGTGACAAATGCCAAACCCACGTGGTGTAGCAGCCCAAAAAACCACCCTGCTCCTGCTGTAAAAAAACCAACAAAAATACACAGATTTCATCAATATAAAGCTAAATAAATCCATTGCATCAGCCATTCACAACCCTGGCAGGAATCAGAATAAGGGGGATCGACAGCACCTCGGAACAGGAGTACGCTCAAAGCGCTTGGAATCTGCGCGAGAACGACGCAGTGAAAATTGGAATTAATTTCAAACAGTGCCCACGTTTGTCAGCCGAGGTGCTCTCTGTTACAAAAGCTGCATATTACATGGGGAATTCCGGGGATGAAGGCTTTAATCCGGGCTCTGGCAGCCCCCTCCCCTCGCCGGGAGCTGTTCCACCACGTAATTGCTCAGCGGAGCAGCCGCTGATTTTCCTGCGGCGTCCCCGGGCTCTTTATTCCAGCTCTCAGGCCATATGAGAGATAAATTCGGGGGGCTGGCCACACCACGAGAGCAGCTGAGTGTCTGCCATGGCATGGCAAGGCAGAAGCCTGGATCTGATATTCCCACTGACATRAGCGTTTTGACAACAGCAGCCAGTTGTCTCACACACGCATGATCTCTCCCTTTCTATTTTTTTTTCTCCCCTCAGAAGATGGAAAATAGTGCCAAGAACCTGGCTCTTCTTCAGGGAGACACGTGAAAAAATTCTCMGTTCGAACAGATGGTCAAATACCGCTCTTCTGGTTTGCTACTCGCATTTTTTTTTAGTTAAATAAACCTATTTTAAAATGTTTTTCCGCAACATTTCGCCAAAAAAAAAATTAATGAAAAGGAAAATATTCTTCCTCCAGGGAATGGGCACAGCCCCAAGGCTGCCAGAGCTCGAGGAGTGTTTGGACAACGCTCCCAGGGATGCACAGGGTGGGATTGCTGGGCTGTCCTGTGTTTGATCAATGATCCTTTTGGGTCCCTTTAACTCAGGATATTCTGTGATTTTGAACAGAATAATATTCTATTTTTATTATTCCATATTATTCTATTTATTATTCTATATTTTAATATTCTATTTTTATTACTCTCTATTTTACTATTCAATATTATTTTATAAYTCTTTATTAGTCTGTATTTTAATAKTCTATTTTTAYTCCATTAGCACAACTACCATGCTAAACACCAATTCAGAAACCACGAGTGGCTGAGCTGGGCCGAGGGTTTTACTGAAAAACCTGGGAACCGTCACTGCCACATGAGACAAATTTGATCTTTACCTAAAAACTGGCAAGGAATCACTGACGTATGACCTTGCAACTCCATGGAAAGAGGGTTTCCTGCTGGAATTTTAGCAGCAGCTGCAATGACATTTAACAATTTAATTTTGAGKTGCATTCAACTGATGGATGTACTTGCAGTGCATCTCCAGGAGGGCCGATGTGATGGGTCCCCAAAACCTGATTTGAGGGGAAATCAGTGGAATTTTAAATTTTTAAGCATTCAGGAGAAGATTATTGTCTGGATAAACATTAGCTCAAGCTGAATAGAATCTCCATGGTTGGATGGGATATTGGGAAGAAGTTCTAAACT